GACTCTTTTCTCTGATCGGCGTGCTTGGTACGCTAGCAGAGCGGAATTGACGACCATCTGTTGGCGTGGCACTTTGCATCCGAGAAGACTGTGCAAGACCGGGCGGGTTTGCCAGTGTGCTCATTGGGCCCACGCCACTAGCATCACCTGTATTGCCGAAGCTCGATCGTCTATCGTCCTGCCGCTCCTCGAACAGAGTGGCAGGCAGGATCTTGGGGTTGTTGCTGTAGTCCGACGCTTCTCTTTTAGGCACCGGCGGCCTCATCGGAGTAGTTGCACCACCCGTCCTGTTGGCGACTGGAGAGCCAGAGACTTCCCGCTCGCTACCCTCGGGGATTGGTTGCGCATGATAGAGGCTCTGCGTCGTCTTGAGGAGCTGCGGAGGCCCGATGATCCTGCCAGGGTTCTTCCGACTCTTCTTCTTCGACAGGCTCTTGCTCCTGCGAGGCGGAATGTGGGGCCCATTCCCATCCACCGCTTGTGGCCCTTTGAGAGCCTGCGTAGCAGCGCGGGCTTGAAGCGCCACGTCTTGCATCATATCTCCGCTAACCTCCCTCCGACTGTTGGCACTACCACTGCGGCCTGACCAGCCTGACTGAGCCGAAGCTGGGCTCAGAGCAGTGACATCAAGAGGTGGACCGAGAGCTCTCTGCTGCACATGCTCTCCCGCTTCGCTACTCAGGGTCTGGTCAGGTGAGAACGGCATCGAAGCGTCTGCCTCGTAACCACCGTAGGCGTCGATGGGCTCAAAGTGACCGCTTTGCTGATCGCCTTGCGCTAACTCTGGCGTGTACAGGCCGAAGAGACCTACGTAGCCAGGGACACCCTGGCCACCGCTTGACAGTGGCTGCTGGTCGTCCAAACCGCTCTCTGGCCGCTGTCCTAGCTGTTGCTGTCCATTAAAGTCTCGCGCGCCTGATCCACCAGCGCTGTGCTGGCTGTCCAGAGCCTGCCCGATGTTGATAGGTTCATCATCGGATATTCCCCCAATGGCAGGGTCCAACATTGGCCGATAGCCAGTCGAGCTCTCTCGCCCACTGCCAACACCATTCAACCGCAGACTGAGGTCATGAAGCGTCGGAAGATTGTTCAGCGACGAATTGTTTCGCCGATGCGAGCCCTGGGTGGACAAGCGTCGCAGCGGGGGAGAAGTTGGGCGGTGCGATGTAGTGACATCGTACATCACTTGAGACTTGAAGGATCTGACAGAGGAAGACTTTGTCATCTGCGAGGCAGGGCTTGACGTTTGCGCTTGCATTGCAACAGCAGTGCCGGCCGCGCGCTGAAAGGGCGAGGTAAATTGGAGAGGCGGTGCGGCTCCATGCGCCGACCCTGCATTCATGTCTGGAGTGCGAGGAGCTGCTTTAGCAGGCGTCTCTGCCTTGCCAGCTTCATCAAAAGACTGTTGCGATGTGCGAGAAGACCTTGCCTGATTACGCAGGGGTGGCCCCATCTGATTGACAGCCGGTTCCTTCGGTGTGCTAAGCTCCTCGCCATCATATCTCGCCGAGTGCCTTGCGCTGCCCGCTGTCGAAGTAGCCGATGAATAGCGCCGCGGGATATCAGGCACTGCAGGCGCAATCCCAAGTTGGGTCCTGCCAGGCTGTTTTTGACTGGCAGACCTGACGAGATTTGCTTGGAGTTGGGCCAGTTGGCTCATGGTCACACCTCCTGTTGCTTCAAGCTCTTGGGCAGGAAGATGGCTGATCGGCCTCCAGCTGTCGTGACCAAAAGTCGGATTCAGGTTTCGAGCCTGACCCGAAGCGGGCTCTCGCATTCCACTGGAAGAAGCTTCGCCCTCATATGTGTACGGTAGACGAATACTGGAAGACTCATCGAATGTACCTTCCTCGGATTCAAGATTGCGAGCCACCTTGGCCCACACGTCATCGTCTCCTTCACTCTGATCGGAACGGTTGCCGAAAGGAGAGATGGGAGAATCGCCTGCGCTTTCGGCCACAGACAGACGTGAAGTGTCTACTTGTGGCTTTTCCTTTGTTACAGGTGGGACAATGATCTTGTCCGCGATCGAGGCAGAAGGGTGGACGGCAGTCGCAGGGGAAGACACTTCGGCGCCTTTGCCAGCATCCTTGGTGACATTCGCCAGGGCAGAGGAGGCTGCATAAGCACTAGGCACTCCGTCACTGTCGTCCCTCGCAGGTGTTCTTTCTGTGTTTTGCTCGGCAGCAGAGGGTGTTTTCCGGAATCCGCTTGCGAACAAGTCTGCTGTTGCAGCTCTTGTCAAAGAGGTGGGAGTCTGTGGGAAATAGCGCTGCTGGCTCCTGGCTGCTATTGCGTCTGCCGAAAGGACAGGTTGATGAAGGGATGATGAAGGACCACCGGGTGTCAAGGGCCGGCGGCCTTCACTCTGAGGGCCCCGACTTCCATCTGCAGCGCGCTCTTTGTGAAACCGTGTCGTCGGCGATTCAAGAGGCGCTGGTCTGCTTGGCGACATTGGTGCGCCTGATGCAACCAGATCCCCCACCTTGTCCCTGCGGGCACTGTCAGCAGGAACGACTCGTGAAGAGTCACCGGTACCTTGTCTGGTGTGACTACGCTTGACAGGAGTCTCGAACGTTGGCACACCTCGATCTGTCTTTGGGGTGATTTGCTCAGAAGCTTGCTCAGGGTCACTGTCCCTAATTTGAGTGTCACTGGTCGTCCTTGCGCCTTCTGCACCGTTCCCAGCAACGATGGTGTTTGTGCCCGAAGCAGATGAGGTCATCTCTCCGTCCAGTCCAAGCAGAGTCTGTGAGCTCTTTGTAAGTGCAATACCCAGCTCCTGCTGCAAGCTGCCAGAGGGCGTGAGATTGCTATCCACTATGCTCGTGATGGGATCGCTATCAACGGAGAGGTGTTCTATCTGCAGGATCGGATTTGCTTCCTCTCTGGCGGACGTGAATGAGGTCGTGTCTGAATCAGGAGAATGGCTACGCTTGCCCTTTGCGCTAGTCCTGCGTAGACGTGGCAGCCGTACAGAGGTCTGCGGCAGGCTCTCTGATCCCTCTCCCTCATCGTCCGCATCGTGAGTCCTAGAGGAGCCGTTTGTTCTACCAGTAGCATCTGAGTAGTGTCGCTCATGTTGAGGTCCTGCGCCTGAGCTGTAGCTAGTGCTGGCTTCCCCTTCTTCTCTCTCCTCCTGTTCCATTGAGCCAATCAAGCGAGATCCTTCAGCCCGCATGCCGCCCTGCAAAGGCTCGCTTGTACTCGCTTCGCCCTCCTGATCGCCATCATCGTCTGTTCCCTCCACTGATTCACCTGTGACCTCATAGCTGCTGCTTTCTGATTCTCCCATAGCGAGAGCCCCGTATTGGTTTGGGGCGACCATGCTGATGACCTCCTCAAGAGCGGTACTGACGCGCCGGAATGCTTCGGGAGATAGCGTTGAAAGAAGAGGGGATGGGTTTGAGCCAGGAGGCGTGCGAGGTGCCCGAGGAGGGGTCAGTCCTGAGCGCGGCACCTCTTGCTCTGTTGGTGTTGTACGCGCACTACTAGCAAAACCTCCGGGCATCGAGTCCCTTGGGTCTTGTTCATCTGCAGTCGCCGCTTCCTCTTCCTCCTCAATGGCAGGCTCGGCACCCCGAATCTGAACCTGGGGAACTTTGGGCTTGTCGAGACTGCGCAAATACGCGTGATCCCTCTGTGAGCTCCGACCAGAGAAGAGCGAGCCAGAGGAAGCAGAGGAAGCGATGGCATTGGTGGATGACGAGGCATTGAGATCGCCAAGTGTCTCTGCCAAGGATCCGAGTCTGTCGTAGTTGCCTGAGCGGGAAGGGCTAGTTGGACTCGAGGAGGTGAGGCGTGATGTAGTAGCCCAGTCGCCGCCGAAGCCATCTGTTCCCCCAGCCTGAAAGGTCCGTGGAATTGAGGCCGTGCTCGTGGCAGCTCTCTGATAGCTCTCTGCCACGTCTGCGTCCATCCTGGTCTGCCTCTTCATCTGTTCGATGATCTCGTCTTCCTCTTGTTCTGTGAGGAAATTTGCCCCTGGCTGACCTTCCACTCTTGCCCTCTGTCGTTGGGCCCTGAGATGGGCCCTCATTGCGTCTGGTGTGACCATTGTACCATCGGGTGCTTGTAAGAGGGTGAAGCGGCGGGTGAGATGTGGCATGATGAGTGATGTTCCTGCAAAGGGGAGTGAAAGGGGTTGCAGTCAGCCAAGGTGAGAGACAGCTCAGCCTTCTTCCTTCTGGGTCTGGTGGCTACTCACTGTAGCTACTCTCTGGAGGCAGACGCAGTTGGGGCGGTTGGTTGGCTGCCTCTGTTGCGCCATCTGATGTGATGCCTGCCTCCTTGCCTGCCCTGCCCTTGCGGCGTGAAGATTGACCATTGGTGGCAATGGTGATGGCTGGGAGGCCGCTGCCTTTGGAAGGCTGAGCGTCTGCCGTCTTTGCCCTCCTCCGGAATGGGTTGGCGAGCATGGCCGTGAGGGTTGTACCGGAGGAAGAGGCCGAGGACGAGGCTGCTACGTCTTTGCTCTTTGCTCCAGGGCGACTGCGAGCCGATGGGTGGACAAAGGGGGGAGGCGGTCCGGTGTGCGCGCGAGGTCTACGGGTGTGATGGCATGGAGATGAACAGGGTATTGGGTATATGCACTTGCAAAGGTGGGCCACTGGATGACCTTGCACTTTGGTATCGGCCAGGAAGAAGTGGCAGGGACACGCAGACGGCGTCCACTCAGGGGACCGCGGCCGAGGATACCAGACCAAGGAGCAAAAGGCACACGCACCCACGCACCCACCGCACACGTCCATGCATGCGCCTCTGCGTCCCTCTTTGCCCTCGCACCATCACCCCGCCGTGCACGCACCCTCGCCCCTCCGGCCCTTTTCCAAGACTCGTCCAGACATTTTTGGCTCCTTCCGCTTCCGCTCCGACGCGACGACGGACATCCGATGGATCAGATCTGACAGGTAAGACAGACACACACACACGCACACAGGCCACATCACCTTCTGCCGTCGGCATCTCCTTCAGCGCACTCACTGCGCTCACCGCGGCCGATGCTTAGGTCCCTGCCAGGCCATGGCTATCGGTATGCACTCACGCCCACTCGTTCCACTTCCGCCTCCCGGCTGCTCGGCCCGACACGAACGGCCTCCAACTGCAATGCCCACTGTCAGCCAAGGGCGGTGATACGCAGTCTGCACACCACCTCACCATGCTACAGCAGCGACATCGATGAGCAGCCACACGAAAAGAAAAAGGCAGCTACAAAGGCACACTTCTTCCGCAATGCAAAGGTGAGGGAGCATGGCAGCGCAGCAATGACATCTCGGTAGCAGCTCACAGACTCTTTCTCCATTGTGCGTCTGCCCCAGTCCACTTCCTTCCTCGACATACTCTCCGTCTCAGGCACTGCCGGCTCAGGAGGGGACGGGTGCGTCTCCTTTGCCCGAGCAAAGTACGTAGAATACGGACCCCCATCGGGCGGATCAGGAGGGCCAGGCGGCTCCATCTACATCCGAGCAGTACCTTCTCTGCGCTCCCTCGCACGAGTCCCTTCGAGGATACAGGCAGGAGAAGGTGGACTAGGAAAAGGAGAGTGGAGGGATGGTCGCAGAGGCAGAGATGTCACGCTGCAGGTGCCCGTGGGCACAGTCGTCAAGGTCTGGAGTAGAGGCGTCAGCATGGAAGAGGGCGAAGCAGGTGCAATGGCTGAGCGGAGAGAAATTTATGAAGGTCAATTGCTCAAGAGGCTGGGAAGGGGGAAGCGCTTAAAGCGACTCAAGGGCGTGCAGATGCCTGGGGATCCAGAGCCAGACCAAGAGGTTGACGAAGCAGCAGAGGAAAGCGCCGAAGAGGAGGACCACTTCGAAGACGCAACTCCTGCTTCGAGAACACAGCGCGACTATGTCCAAGAGGAGGAAGAGTCACTCGAGCGTCGTCAGATGCTCAACTCCGTCTGGCGCCACTACCCTGGCCAAGGGGGAGCAGTGGAAGGGCTGGGAGCCGACTCAAAGGACGAAGAGAATCTCTACTCTCGAGAGGAATTCCGCCTGGCCGAGGAGCGATATGCAATCGCATTGCGAAAGGAGCGCGCTGAAAGAGCAAAGGAGCAGGCGGACGATCTAAGTGGGGGCATAGATAGCGCCTCAGAGGACTCGTCCCTCGACTCGGACGACGCTCAGCCTATTTTCACCCTCGATCTCTCGACACCGACGCCAGCATCCTCAATGGGTCACCTTCTAGCTTCAGGAGGCACAGCAGGCTTCGGCAATCCTTACTTCCTCACCGGCAGTAATCGCTCACCCAAATTCGCTACCAGAGGTCGGCAGGGCGAATTCATCTCCCTCACGCTTGAGCTCAAGACTCCAGCAGACATTGGCTTCATCGGTCTACCCAACGCCGGCAAGAGCAGCCTTCTCCGAGCCTTGACGGGTGCGACGAGGAAGAGCGCTCAAGTCGGCGGGTGGGAGTTCACCACCTTGAGTCCCAATGTGGGGGTGATGCGTATGAGTGGGGCAGCGGGAGAAGCGAGGACCCTAATTGGTACGGGCTCTGAGCCCATCCTCGACTCTAGGGTCGAAGACCTCCCCGCCTCTGCCGAAGAGGAATACGGCCGCAGATTTTCCAGCTCAATTTTAGAAGGCGAAGACGGCAACGAGTCGCAGTACGTCCTCTCCGACCTCCCCGGCCTCATCCTTGGCGCTTCTTCCAATCGAGGGCTGGGTCACCAGTTCCTCCGGCACGCAGAGAGGTGTCTCGCCCTCCTGTACGTAGTAGACGTCTCCCCCTCCCGGCCAAACCCGTGGGAGGACCTGATGGTTCTCAAGCGCGAGCTGGAAGGATACAAGGAGGGGCTCAGCACTAAGATCCGGGGCGTAGTGGCAAACAAGTGTGATGTCCTTGGTCCTAGCCAGTCGCAGAGTCACGATGACGCCGCAGCGGGGGAGGAGCCACAAAGATTGACGGTAGACGAGGCGAGGGAGAAATTGCGCTACCTTCAGCAGCGAGTCAGAGAGGACCACGGACAAGACTTGAAGGTCTTCCCCGTCAGCGCCATGTGGCGACAGGGTGTGCAAGGGCTGGCGGCGCAAATCGAAACGACGATACGGGAGGAGAAGCGCAAGGAAGAAGAGAAGAAGGAGAGGGAGACGAGGGGTCTATGAGGCAGTACCGACAAGCAGCAACTAGGCGGAATGTCCCACATTGGCATTGGCAGCGTTCATCATTTGTACATCATAAGCATACAGACATCAATTGCATTGCGTCTAACGTTTACGATCCTTGTGATCACCGCAAGAGCAGAGCTGTAAAGGCAGTCTTTTCCATCTCGACCGCTACGCTGATTTCTGCCCGGGGAGACCTCTCCCTATCGAGCGCTCTTGCTAATACTGTCAGCGAAGACCTCGTGCGACGTTTCAGCAGAGTCACGAACGCCATGGTCATGAGAGTCAGAGGATCAGATTGGTGGGATCTTTTGATCCGATGTAAGCCCGGCTTGGGCAAGATCTTAGTCCTCGGGGCCAGAGCGCTCTCCTTCTTCGGTCTTTGCTGAGGACCTCGGCAACTTTTACGTGGTTTCCTGTCTCTGCATGAGGTGCAGTGAACAGCTCTCGCGAGCCTGAGTAGAGCTCGAAGGTATCGAGCGCGGAAGGACCCCCTCGGTCGTCCTTGAGAGGCACTTCGCTGACTGTCAGTACGCTTGACTTGAATAGTGGCATGAAGCAAGATCCTAGAGATCTAGTATCTCTTGCCGATCTAGAGTCTCCCTCACTGCGGGCCGACTACGTGGTCTTCACCTGCTCTGATCCACTAACATCATGACTGCGTTTCGAAGTATCCCACCCACGACTCTTCACATCCTGCATCTTGGAAGTGACATCTTCCAGCTCCCAGCGCAGCTGGACTATGCGTCTCTCCCGCTCGAGAGCTTGTTGCTCCTGTTCCTTCTTCAGGCGTGTCGCCTCTTTCTGCTCAGGTGTCTCTGCGAACGAAAGTGAAGGCTTTTTATGCTGCTGCGCCTCTGAGGCTGCTAGCTTCTCCCGAGAGATGGGCTCTTCGTGCGTGCGCTCGTGGATGTAGGAGCCTAGAAGGAAGCCGGTAGGGAGGATGGCCACGGCTGCGAATGCTGCTGCCCAGTTCCGCAACGGCAAACGCGGTGGCACAGGCTGGGAGCGAGGAGGCGGAGGGGGCGGTAGGGGCATGCTGAAATGAGTGGATATGGTATGCAATGGAGAGTATGCTGAAATACAAGGGTGCTGAGAGCAAGGTGGTAGGAGCACTTCTTCGAACGCAGAAGTCCCCACCTACGCCACGTTGCCCTTTCCGCTTCCGTCTCTGCTTCCGTACCGATGTTGCGTCCTTATTTGTACGCTTCGAATACAACGGTGGCTCCCACCTTGTTTGGCTCCACCCACGTCACGCCGCCTTTCCTCCTCACTCTCACAGCTGGTGTAGTCCCTTCGCCCGCACTACCAGCGTCAGTCGCGACCATCAAGTCCTCAATCTTCTTGATCACCGCCAGCTTGTCTTCCTCCTGTCCACTGGTCCACTTTCGTCCCTTCTTGGTAGTGATTGTGATGCTCACTCGGCTTCCGGGACCCTTCTTGTTGAGATGACGCTTTCCTGACTCGAGCTTATGCGACAGATCATGCTCTGTGACGAGCCAGCTAATTTGTATCTCAGCGGGAGGTTGACTAGCGACTGTCTTTCCTGCGCCCCCACCGCCGGCCTTGGATTTGAGATAGGCGTCTTTCTTGCTCATGACCTTCACGATAGGCACCTCCTGGTCGCGTGTGACCTGGAGCAGGTAGTAGTGGGCGCGATCAATCTCAGCGAGTATCAGCTTCGGGTTGCGAGGCTCACCGACGAGCTTGCCTGTCTCGCTGTCCACGAGCTGGACTCGAAAGGCGGAGATGCCTTCATCTTTGACCTCTCCCGTTCGAGCTTTGGTCATTGGTCCCGTAGAGTAGGGCGAGAATTGCCGACCGCAGACGTCAAGATGCGACAAGATTTGACTGCGTCCCGTAATGAGAGTGGAGTAGCTTCTTGCCGGCTCTTGGCCTCGCAAGGACCTGGGACTTCTGTAGGAGGAGGTGGGCACGGGCGAGGTGCTGTGTAATCTGCCTCTCCTCTTCGACTCGTCAAATACCAGATTCGGCCGGTTGAGACCTTCGCGACAGCCCCGCAGAATGAGCAGCCACCCATCGCGGAGAAACCGCGAGGTAGCCCCAAGGAAGCGATTCGACACGAGGATTGTGAGTATGTTGGACGCCCAAGGAGGAAGTGACGAACGCTGTAGTTGAGATGCGATGTAAGTGGCAGGCGTCGGATCTGACAGGATCCGCGAAGATGGAGAAGGTGCAAGGACTCGCGACGCCGGTGCAGTATGTTGCGGCTCCAGTAGACTGTCCCACGTTTGCGCTACTCCGGCCTCTTGCTTCCAACCGCCTCCTGGCTTAACTCCTCGCTTGACGAGGCGAGACCTCACCGCAGCTTCTGCTCTCCTCATGAGGGCGTTCATCGGTCCTTCATGAGCCCATAGTGTCGTAGTGATCACAGAAACAGCTTGAGGCGGGGAAGCTTCGAGCCCTTGCGATGGATAGCGCTTCGCCAGAACGTCACCCATCCTGTGAGAGGTGACTGTATCGGTGGTAATGCGATCTCCAATCACCAGTATGTTCCCCATCCTCTTCTTTACCAGTCGCTTCACCACCTCGCCCTCGCTGCCAGTTGTACCCTGCGTGGCAAAGATGCGCTTTAGGCCGCTGGAGAAGGAGGGGCGGAGGCGAGATGTCGAGGAGGAGGGGTCGTGTACCTGCGAGAAGTAGTCCACCACCTGTCTTGCGCAGCCTCTTGCTGGCTTCTTCTTGATGTGGCAGAGAACGGTGGTGCCATACAGCATGCGGGAGAGGTGCTGGGCACCCACGCCTCCCACATCGCTCGAGCTGCCTGCCGAGTTGGAGACGATGAGTACATTGTCCTCGCCAAAGACTTGCAGACATTGCCTGTATGACTCCTCCAGCGATGGGTGAAGCGAGTCGGAATGCGGTGCGGTGATGCAATTGTCCTTGTCGAAGACGATGTAGTCGAAGCCGAGGCGTTTGGCATGAACCCAGGACAAGGAGCGGATATCGGGGACGACCAGGTGTGGCACTACCAGACCGGGCCGCAAGAGGGCGGACCCGATGGCAGCCACGCCAGAGAGGTTGACCATTGCCGTCGCAGCAGTAGAGATGGAGGGACAAGCACGGGTGGACAGTGATGGTGACGGCGAGGATGACGATCGAGGGCCGAGGCTGCTTTGTGTGTGTGTGCTTGTGTGTATTTCCGTCGGAAAGAGGCGTGGGCGGATGCGCAGAAGCGGACAGGTTCAAGTGAGAAGGTCTCCTCTCCTTTCCGCTGCTTCCTTCCCTGCCGTCCATACCAACTCTCGCTCCTTTGGTCGTCGTGCTGCGCCCTCGATCATGTCCGGTCCTCCGCAACAGGACCGCAACCAGGACGCCACATGCTACGTCGGCAACCTGGACGATCGCTGTACATCGTCGCTCGTATGGGAGCTGATGCTCCAGGCTGGACCACTCGTCAATGTTCACCTGCCGAAAGACCGCATCACATCGGCCCACCAAGGCTTCGCATTCACGGAATACCAGACAGAGGCAGATGCCGAGTACGCTTGCAAGATCATGAATGGTATCAAGCTCTTTGGAAAGCCCATTCGCGTGAATAAGGCCAGCTCCGACAAGAAGCAGATCGACATCGGGGCCAATCTCTTCGTTGGCAACTTGGACGGCAACGTGGACGAAAGGGTCCTGTACGAGACTTTCAGCGCATTTGGCCACGTCGTTGGTCTCCCCAAGATCGCAAGAGATCCTGCAACAAATGTCTCGAAGAGCTACGGCTTCGTCTCGTATGACTCCTTCGAGGCGGCAGATTCAGCAATCGAATCACTGAATGGACAGTTCCTGCTCAATCGTCCCATCAATGTCTCTTTTGCACTCAAGAAGGACGGCAAAGGAGGCGAAAGACATGGTACGCCAGCCGAGAGACTGCTGGCTGCCCAGGCTCGGAAGAACAATGCCATGCCTGCAAGGGTCCCTCTCCCTCCGGGTCTCTTCGCCGGCCCTCCGCCAGGAATGCCTGCCTTCGGAGCTATGGCCCCTCCTCCCCCTCCTCCAGGTATGCCCGCCATGCCCATCCGGCCGCAAGACGGCGGCTGGGGCCAAAGATCTGGTATGCCGCCTCCTCCACCTCCGCCTTCAGGTTTTACTCCATATTCGGGCCCCCCGCCTCCCCCACCGCCGACGAATGGTATGATGAATGGTGCAGGGATGCCACCTCAGCCACCGCCTATGCAAGGACACTACCAGGGTGGACCACCGCCACAGCAGTTCCAGCAACATCAGCCTTACTACGGAGGACCGCCTCCGCCTCCGCCGCCTGGAGTGCCAGGAGGATACCACTGAGCCTGTGGGCAAAGTGCGCATCATGCCGTGTGTCTTGGGATATCGCATGCCGGAGCTTTCCAGCTTTGTCCAGCCTGGTGCGTCACCCAATGTAATTGTATCTTCATCATCGCAGCCCAATGATTGTACAGTGGATTTTGATCGGTCTGACCAGATGACTTCAAGGGTATACTGTACATTGCTTCATTCGCCCATTCACAGCGGCTTGACCCCCAGAAGTCCTCTAAATCCCTCAAACAGCGTCAAGCTGATGACAGTGTGACTGCCCAATCGCGCCCAGCACATCCCAAAGCCCTTCCAGAGCGCCATGGGTCCTTCATTCCGTAGCAGCTCTCCCAAATGTGCCAATGCATTGGGACGCGGTAGGTGGGCGGGCATCTTGGAGATGGACATTAGACGAGTCTTGAGCACATCGATGGGCTGCGATGCTGCTGAACAGACGAATCTGCGAGGGAGAGCGACAAGGGGTCAGACGAGCCGCAGCCTTTGTTACTAAGTGGCTCAGGCCCCGCGCTACTCACCCGGCGATCATGCTTGAGGTCAGATGAAGCTTGATACCTTCGTGCATATTCAGACTGCCGCCCTTGAGCCAGATCTTGACCTCGTCGTACGTTGCAATTTGCGACGAGGTCAATACGGCGGCTCTGATTGTGTTGGGCCAGATTCCTCTCCACATTGCCCGCACACCTCCTTGTCTGTACACCTCGACGAAGCCATGCAGCGTTGTCCGGTACGGCGGTCTGCCGTCCGGTCGAGCTGCCTGCATCCTGACCTTCATTAGATCCGTTGGTGTGGAGATGGCTGCTCCGATGGCCCCACTTGTGATGCCCGCAAGAAGCTTGTTCCCGAAGCCATCAGCGCCAAAGCCAAGTTGCTTAGCGTAGAATTTCTTTGCAGGCTCGTATCCTCCCATACGAATGGTGGAGTACGTGCCCTCGCGATACATGCTCGCCGTGACTCCAGACCACAGACCCCTCAGACCTTCGCTCCGGACCATTGCAGCGGCAATCGATGGGAACGATGCGCGGGTACGTGTGAGCAGGAGCTGTTGCCGGACTTTGATGACGTCTGCTGGGTTGGTACAGACGGCGGAAAGGACATTGGCGAGACCGGCGGAGAAGAAGGTAGCGGTGGTGATGTAGCGGGGCGAGTGGGGCACCACCTTGGGCCGGGCAGAGGAGAGGGACTCTTCCTCCTGTAGGGAGGTCGATGGCGTGGGTATCGAGCGACTCATCCTGAGGGGCGTGGAGGGTAGACTAGGAAAATCCCGTCTACGGCCGAAGGGAGAAGAGTGGATGTGAGTGTGGGGTAGCGGCGGGGTGGAGCAGTGTGACCCAGGAAGAAGCCGCGGCCGTGGCTTCCACTCGATCCGATCGACTCTTGGCTCCGCCCCGATCGGCAAAAGATGATTCCGCACAGACGTTTTTCCGGAGAGACGACGACTTCTTCCGATCAACGTCTCCACACATCGTTCACTTCTGGATCATACTCCTTGATATCCCCGTGCCCACGCCTCGTCACGTCACGATCCGCTCTTGTCGGACATCGTCATCATGGCGACTTCCTCTTCGTCGACCTTCGCGGGCGCTATGGCGTCCCTCGTGAGCGGAGACGACTCAGCAGATGGCATCTCCTCAGCTGAGCTCACGGCGCTACAGGAAGCAGTCGCGCATCTGTCTGTGGACCACGCCACACAGGGACTCAAAGGTAGAGGAACGGACACTGCCATCAGCGACCCCGGTCCCTCGCGTCAACGGTCTCTGTGGGGTCAAGTGCTAGATGCAGCCGACGTGACCGCAGATGAAGCAATGAGGGGCGATGCAGTGGAAAGGCATGCTGACGAGATGGAAGCCGAGGCAGCTCACGAGGCACCGTCCGCTCTGCCAAAGCTGGAACATCTACTAGGCTCAATGGATCAAGACGTAGCGGCATCCCTGCGCCTCAGCATATCCGATATGCTGCCGAACACAAAGAAGAGTGACGAAGTGATAGCAGCCGAGCTAGCTGAGCTATTAGGCTACGAGCACCTGGAGCTGGTGGGAGAGCTTGTTGGACAAAGGCACAGCATCGGACACAGCCTCGAGGGCACGGGGATCTCAAACAGGCCCAACTCCCATACACCTGCTGTTCAAGGAGCCTCGGCTCATGATGACCAATTACAACATCTTCAACAGCCCAGTCACCATTCTTCTCTCGCTGCCATGAAGCCCACAGCCAAGCCTTACACACCGGGGTCTCAGCTCACAGTCCATTCGGCTCAAGAGCTAGCAGAACAGAAGGCCTTGCGAGCAGCCAGTCGAAGATCTCACAAGGCCAAAGGGGCCGGTCCGGGCCCTTCTGCCGATGGACACCTCACCTTCGAAGAGATGGAACAGCTGCGAGAGCAGCAGCTTGCAGAGAACGCCAGCCGGCCTCTTTTCACGTCCGATGCGACGACATCAGATCAGCCCAAGTACCCTCACGTCTTCGCCTCCGGAGCTTCTGGTAACACCTTGTCCATCTTTGGCTCGAAGTTTGCCCTGCCACTGGGCACAACCCGTGCAGAGCACAAGGAGTACGAAGAAGTGACAATACCACCGCCCCGAGCCATACCGATGAGATTCAACGAGCGACTCATCCCAATCGCAGAGATGGACACAATGTGCAGAGGCGCCTTCCCAGGGTACAAGTCCCTCAATCGCCTTCAGTCGGTAGTCTATCCACTCGGCTACGGTTCGAATGAGAACATGCTAGTCTGTGCTCCCACGGGAGCTGGTAAGACGGACGTGGCCATGCTGGCGGTATTGCGCGCCATCTCGCAGTATACCGAGAACCTACATGCACAGGGTGGAAGAGGCTACGGCATCAAGCTCAATGACTTCAAGATCATCTACGTAGCGCCAATGAAGGCGCTTGCCGCTGAGATTGTCAGAAAATTCAGCAAGAGGTTGGCCTACCTGGGTGTTAAGGTCAGAGAATTGACTGGTGACATGCAGATGACAAGGCAGGAAATCAACGATACGCAGATGATTGTCACAACGCCAGAGAAGTGGGACGTGGTCACAAGAAAGCCCACAGGTGAGGGCGAGCTAGCTAGCAAGGTGAAGCTGCTTATCATCGATGAAGTTCATCTGCTTCATGAAGACCGAGGTGCAGTCATTGAGACGATCGTTGCACGAACTCTGCGTCTTGTAGAGTCCAGTCAATCCCTCATCCGTATCGTGGGACTCTCAGCTACACTGCCGAATTACGTCGATGTGGCGGACTTTCTGCGCGTCAATCGCTATCAGGGCCTCTTTTACTTCGACTCGTCTTTCCGACCTGTCCCTCTTGAACAGCACTTCCTCGGTGTCAAGGGCAAAGCAGGATCGCCACAATCCCGAACGAATCTAGACAAAGCCATGTTTCTCAAAGTGGAGCAGCTGATCTCCGACGGCCATCAGGTCATGGTATTTGTACATGCTCGCAAAGAGACAGTCAAGACTGCTACAACAATCAGAGAGATGTGTAGAGCCGAAGGATCGGAAGACTTGCTTCTTGCAGGCAGAGAAGACAAGGACGGCGTCGTCAATGGGTTCAAGAGGGACCTGGCGAGCTCAAGAAACAAGGAGCTCAAAGAGCTCTTTGAGAGTGGTCTAGGGATTCATCATGCAGGCATGCTGCGCAGCGATCGCGCTTTGAGCGAGAGGATGTTTGAGACCGGCGTGACAAAGGTGAGTGGAAGAAGATCACCGAACACACACCGTGTACCATCCCGCGGAAGCCTGCTGACCTCACCTCTTTCATTCACAGGTTCTCTGCTGTACATCCACGCTGGCGTGGGGAGTCAATTTGCCCGCTTTCGCGGTCCTGATCAAAGGCACAGATGTGTACGACTCCAGTCTGGGAAAATTCGTGGACCTATCTATCCTCGATGTACTACAAATCTTTGGTCGAGCGGGAAGACCACAATACGAGGATCTAGGTGTCGGCTACATCTGCACACCTCAGGAGAAGCTGAATCACTACATCGATGCCATCACTAGCCAACATCCCATCGAAAGCAAGTTCGACAAGGGCTTGGTCGACTCACTGAATGCCGAATGTGCCCTCGGGACTGTCCAGAGCGTCCAAGATGGTATCTCTTGGCTGAGTTACACATACCTCTTCACACGCATGCGACGCAACCCCATGGCATACGGTATGTCGCACGATGAGCTAGTCGACGATCCTCACCTTGGTGCAAAGCGACTCGCGCTGATCACCGGAGCCGCCAAGCGTCTGGTGAGCTGCAAGATGATGGAATTCAATGAAAGCGCTGGCAAGCTGTCGGTCACAGATTTGGGACGCATCGCCGCGCGATACTACATTCCGTGGAAGACGATTGAAATATTTAACGAGAAGCTGCGGCCCAAGATGACAGAGGCAGATGTTCTCAGCGTCCTGTCTCTGGCCACCGACTTTGAGCAGATCATCCCTCGCGATGCTGAAGAGAAGGAGCTCAAGAAGATGCTTGAGAACGCCCCTTGCGAAGTTCCTGGAGGCCTTGAGACCTCAGCAGGCAAGGTCAACATCCTGCTGCAGGCTTACATCTCCAGAGTATTTGTGGATGACTTTGCGCTCGCATCAGACTCTGCTTACGTTGCACACAACACTGGCCGAATCATTCGAGCGCTCTTTGAGATTGCGCTGTCCAACAAATGGTCTTCGACGACCTCGGCTCTCATCAACATGAGCAAAGCTGTGGAGAGGCGGATGTGGCCATTCGACCACTCGCTTGCACAGTCGAACCTCACACCGGACACCATGTTCAACTTGCAGCGCTGGGCTGATGATGTCGAAATTTCAGACCTTGCGCAAATGTCGGCTACTGACATCGGGCAGCTGATACACCTCAACGATCGCATCGGAGCAGCAGTCCGGACCGCTGCAACCCAATTCCCTCGTCTTTCTCTTGCGTGTCACCTCAAGCCGATCACCAATGACACCGTCCGCATCGAAGTGCGGGTGGATCGAGATTTTGACTGGAATGACAGGACTCATGGTGGAGCGCAAGCTTTCTATGTCTGGGTCGAAGAAGAAAATGGGGTGGAGATTCAGCAGTGGAACAGGGTCCTCATGCGGGCCAACTTGAAGAGCACAGTCATCTCATTCAACATGGCCATACCTCATCCCATGCCATCAGGTATCAGTCTTCGCTGGATCTCGGACAGCTGGTTAGGGTCTGAAGACATTGTGTGGGTGTCTTTCGAGGACGGTCTTATCATGCCACAAGCTCCCACGCCGCATTTGCCGCTTCTTGAGCTTCCGCTCCTTCCGGTTGATACAGCGCTACAATCACTCTCCTCTGAATCTCGTCAAGGATACCGCAACCATTTCCAAGCCTTCAACGCACTACAGAGTCAAGTCTTCCACACAGCCATGCACACAAGCTCAGATATGCTCTTGGCGGCGCCCGTAGGCTCAGGCCGCTCTACCATTGCTCACATGGCGCTGGCAAGAGCTTTGAAGGCACCGGACGGCTCAAGGCTACTTGTGATTGTTCCCCACCCACGCCTCCTTCTGCAAGAGGCCGAGAAGTTCTCTCGCCTGTTACCAATGGTGCGACATCGGATTGTCAGCTCGCCGGGGGAGCTTGCAATGGAAGATCGATCGCTTAGAGAGGAGGTGATCTTTGCTCTCCCATCTCAGGTCTTACAATTTGCCACGAGGCACAAGGGCACACTAGTCAGCAGCCGTCTGTCGAGGTTTGCCCTCGTTGTTGCGGAAGATTTACATCTGATGGACCCGATCTATGAGCTAGCTCTGAGCCGCATACGACAGGTGTCTGCATTGGTCGGGAAGCCGCGGCTGGTGGCTACCAGTGCAAGTCTTCATGACGCTTCGAGTGTCGCGGATTGGCTGGGTATCAAGGAGCTGGCATGCTACTCATTCGATCCGAAAGATCGTCCGGTCCCGCTCAGAATCACTTTGCAGGCCTTTGATCTCCCGCACAGCTATGCTCTCCTCAAGACCATGGTCAAGCCAGCGTATGACCGAGCACGTGCTAGCATTGGAGAAGGCAAATCTCCCTCAGCTCCTGGATCGTGCCTGATCTTCGTCCCTTCCGCAAGCCAATGCCTGTCCACTGCCTTGGACTTGGTCACACGGTCTGCTTCGGATCTTGAACGGCCCAATGGCACCGCTTTCTTGGGCTGCACCCAAGAAGAGATTGAGCCGTATCTCATGCAGCTCTCAGATGCGAGATTGCACGAGGTTGTGCTGCATGGGATCGGATTGTATCACGATGGCCTGAATCATAGGGACCGTAGCTTGATGCTGGACCTGTACAAGAATGGTACTATTCAGGTGTTGGTAGCTCCCAGAGAAGCATGCTGGTCGCTACCTGTGCGCGCAGGTCTGGTGATCATCATGAGCGCCCAGTATGTGAGGCTAGTCGGAGGCAGCGGCGAAGGTCAGGAGTCGGTCAGCGAGCGACGCACGACCAACTATCCGGCTACTGATGTGCTGAGGATGGCGAGCCTGGCTTCACGTCAGAGTCAGGGTCTCAGTGGCGAGTGTTTCATCCTCTGTCAAACGAGTCAGATAGACGAGATCAATCAGTCGGTCGTCAATCAGGGTCTTCCACTGGAGTCAGCGCTGGCGGAAGGCGCTACAGACGGATCAGGCGAAGGGGCGGCGACTATGCTTCTTGCGACTGTGCTCCTTCGTGAGGTCCAGAATGGGAGAATGAACGACCGCCAGGATTTTGTCGATTCTTTGAGCTGGTCGTTCCTGTTTCGAAGGTTGCAAGTGAACCCCTGCTACTACGGAGCAAAGGGGACAAGCGTCCAAGATGCCAGCGGCTCCCTTTCCCAGCTAGTCGATGGCATTGTCACGGTGCTATGCAAGGCAACCTTGCTCGCTGCTGAACCAGATTCGCTAGACAGAACGGGTGCCTTCCGTCTCACCACGCTTGGCGAACTCTTTGTCAAAAAAGACGATGCCAGTATCGTCTCTCTGCTCGACCTTTACAGGGCGGCCAGTCTGCATCCGACTCTGGCAGCTGCGGTCTGCTCACCCGAAGTAAAGGCACCAAGCGGAAGAGATGTGCTCGGACAGCAGCAGCTGGTTGCGCTGCGCGATCGCATCCCCGGCGAGTGGCTAGCGGCGTTCGGGGTTGCGAGGGCGGATAGGAAGGAGAAGAAGGCGCGAGAGGCAGCAAGGGAGCAGGGCCAGCAGATGTTGGGCTCAACGCCGACGGCTGGAGATTCAGGAGAACCGAAGGATAGTCTTCAAGAGAGCGGTGAGGCTCCACTGCCTCACTCTGCCTTGCTCCTCTGTGCCTACTTTGCCTCGACTGCCGTGGGTGGAAGGGAAGCGGAAGAAGAGCAGGCGCAACTAGTGCGCAGGGTGGTGGAGAGGCGTAGCAAAGGTGGTAGTGGACGGAGGTGAGTGGTGGCCGTGTAGACGACGCGAGTCCTCTTCGATGAAACAATGTACATTAGATCAATACAAGTCCCATACCAATCTCATCGTCTCAACTGCTTCCCTTGTGTGGTACGGGCCGAGCAGACCACGTCTACGCTTCCTCGCGGGAGTCTGCCCGCGGCACGCAACGCACAAAAATGGGCGTGCAGGGCCGGGCAGCGACGAGGCGCAGTCCTTCCTGCCGCCGCCTTTGACTCGCGATACCACATCACCTTGCACTGCTTCCTTCGACGTCGTACCAGTCCGCCATGGCATCCTCTTCTGCTGCGACTTCCTCGTCGTCGTCCCCTCGGCGCTTCACCATCAAGGTCCCCTGCACCTCCTCCAACATCGGCCCTGGCTTCGACGTCGTGGGCCTCTCCCTCTCCCTCTACCTCACCCTAAAGGTCACCGTCGATGCCAATGCCTCCAACGCCCTGCCCACGCTCTCCTACACCGGCGAGGGAGCGAGCGAGGCTCCTCTAGACCCATACAAGAACCTCACCACTCGATGTGCCTTGTACGTGCTGCGCTGCGCAGGAGTCAACTCTTTCCCGCACGGCGTGGACATCAAGGTGAACAACGAGGTGCCCTTTGGCCGTGGTCTGGGCTCAAGCGGAGCAGCCGTCATCGCTGGTATCCTCTTGGGTGATGCACTAGGCTCTCTCAAACTCTCTCGTGCTCGTCTGCTGGACCATGCTCTCATGATTGAGCGGCATCCGGACAATGTCACCGCTGCCCTCATGGGAGGCTTCGTCGGCTCCTACCTGCTGGACCTCTCGCCCGAAGACGTTCAGCGGAAAGCTGTGCCTCTGTCAGAGGTCCTGCCAGAATACCCTTCCGATGCTGGAGAAGAGTGGGGTAGGGATCCTCCCAGCCCGCCACAAGGCATCGGGCACTTTATCAAGTTTGGTTGGGCAAAGGAGATCAAGGTCATTGCCATCATCCCGCAGTTCGAGGTCTCCACAGCCAAGGCTAGGAGCGCATTGCCAGACACGTACAAGAAGGAAGACCTGGTAAGTTTAGTGACATGAGACGAGATGAGATGATGTGATGGCGCGTAGCATCCCCGGCTGATTCTGATATGTCTCGTCGCCCCTTTACAGATCTTCAATCTGCAACGTCTAGCTGTTCTCACTACGGCACTAGCCCGCTCACCGCCAGACTCCTACCTCATCTTCCAAGCAATGCAGGACCGTGTGCACCAACCATACCGCAAGCACCTCGTGAGTAGCTCAGAGCAGGGCGCTGGGCTCAAAGGATGCGCTGACGTACTGACCATCTTCCATTGCCCTCTTTCACTTGCCCTCCCCGCCATGGCTCTAAGATCCCCGGCCTCCCTCGAATCCTGTCATCGGTCACACCCCAGTCCCATCCAGGCCTGCTCGGCATCTGCCTCTCAGGAGCCGGTCCCACTATCTTGGCTCTCGCTACAGAAAACCAAGAGAGCATCGCAAAGACGATCGTAGAGGAGTTTGCAAAGGAGGACATCAAGTGCAGGAGCGAATTCCTCGTCGTCACAGAAGAGGGCGCAGTGGTGACTGAAGAGTAGACGAGCCTTCGTGGAGCAATAAAACGGGTCATTATGAGACGTCTTGATGCTACAATAGATTGTGAAGTGCCTTCCATGGCTCGTGTCGCGTTCAAACAGGCGCTGTGCCCCCTCATCCGCCCGCAATCTCTTCCCTCAGTACACCTTGAGCCACGGCAGACCCCTTTGATAGGCCCTCCTTCTCCTTCTCCCTCTCCTCGCGCCTGTTGCGCTCCCCGACCAGGTCTTCGTACCACTCTCTCCCCATCCCTGCTTTTGCGCGATCCGTTGCGTTGAACGGCCCTTTGAGTCTTCCCGCAAAATTCTGGCGCACCTCTTGACGAAATACTTCTATGGGGTTGAGCGGGGGCGATGGCAGGGAGCAGAGGTGCAGAAGGTGGCGGTGAGCAATGGTCACTGCGGGTGAGCGGAAGAAGGAAGAGTGGAAGTACACGGCGGGAGAGACCCAAGCGGTCAGTCTCGTTTCTTCGTTCAGGCGCTGTCTGCCTCTACACAAGACTCACCATGCGTCACCTCATCACGATGGATGATCTCTAACACCTTGGTGCTGTCCTCGTCACCCGCCTTTTGGAATTTCATGATCGTGACTGGGTTGACGTCCAGACCCCTCGCCTCATTGACCAGATGAATAATGCTCAAACGAGCAGTCAAGGCGTGTTCCGTCTGTAGCGCAGTGTCCCAGAGACCCTGATGCACCTCCAGATCGCCAAAGTTGGCTCCCATGGCCCCAAGCCGGTCCACGAGGAGGGAGAAGTGCTTGGCCTCATCCACCGCAAGTTTGACGAAATCATTGTAAAATTCGAGAGGTAGCTTGACCCTTTGTCCCACAGAAGGCAAGCCTTGCTGTTCGCAGAACTCGGCAAAGAGACGCGGGGAGCGCGCAATGATATCCCATCCGAGGTCAATCGCCCAGAGCTCGATGTTGGCTAAAGAATGCAGCATTGCAATGCGCGACTTGAGCGTGCCCCACTTCCCACGCTTTGCTTCTTGCCCGGGCCTGACGGTGGTGATGTGAGCCTCTCGGGGAGGGGTGTGAGGTGGTGTCTCTTCGGGCTTTGAGATCCACGTGCGGGAAGGGGGACTGCCAGTACCGTCCACAGCTGCCGGCGTGGCCGCTGAAGTATCCGTCTGCCATCTTCCGCCTCCTACAGTCTTGCAGTCTCCAGACCGAAATGCGTCCGCAGCCATCCTCGTATATGCGACTTTCGTCGCTGGATTTGAGGTGTTCAGAATGAGGCAGGCCCATGCAATCAAGGTCCTCGGTCGAGGCTCTGGAGGAAGGACCGATGAAGAAGCATTCGCTGCAGGACCAGTGGATTGCTCGTCTGCTATCGAAAGGGCATTGGCATGCATGTGCAGAGACTCTGCTGCTACCTGACGCGAGGCAAGAGCTCGATCCGGGAAGGCTGTCGAGTAGAAGAGAACCCAGAGTCAACGACTTTTTGTCCCAAGACTGGCCGCCACCGGCCGCTTCCATAGCAACTCACCTTCACTGACCGCTCGCACCTCGGTCACCTCCCATTGCGTCGGTCTAGCATCGTCCTCTCTGACCATGCTCTCTACCTCCACCATGGCCTCGTCTCCCTCTCCCACTACACGTACTTGGTAGGTACATGCCTGAAGCCCCGTCGAGCTCTCTCCTGACCTCAAATCGAAGTCGTACTCATGCCATGGACAGATGATCACGGCGTCCTCTATGTCATCGCCGTCCTCTTCACCAAAGCCAAGATCATCGCCATCGCCGCCATCGTCCTTTTCACTCGCCGTAAGCTTGTCATTCGAAGACTCGACTCGCCGCACTGGTGCGGACTCCAACGGTGCACCTAGATGGGGACACTGCGAGACCATGGCGTACCAGGTGCGCTTCCGGGAGACAGCTGCCGCCCCGCCATTGTTGGAAGCTGCAGCGGGGTTCGTAAAGCTGAAGAGAAGTATTGAGTGGTAGAGGGTGGGCTGAGTAGTCGTGGTGCGAAGAGTGATGTGATGACGATGCGAAGACAGGAGCGAGGCGACGCTGCCTATTGTGATCCAGGGCGCAGAAGCGGTGGATACAGCATCAGACGCCATATCGCAAGAGGAGAATCTAAAGGAATGTATCGTATGAGAAACAAGGGGGTGGCAATCGAGGTTCACTTTCCGAGCATCTGAGAGTCTTCCATCTCAATCAACTCGGTGGGGCTATGCGATTAGGAGAATGAATGGCAAGGAGGCTCCATGATACATGGGCGGCGATCACACTTTGAGTAGGGTCCCGAGGCGCATCGGAACGGAGCTGAACATTCTACTCCCTTTCCGCGGAGCTTGGTGCAGACCCGTGGTCGTGGTGACGGGTACAGGGGTAGGTGGTCGAGTACACGAAGAGAAGTGGGCATTTGAGCAGTCAAGCGCTACGAGACACAGCTGCAACACCTCATCGAGTAATCTACTCTGCTTCAGAATGTCAGACCTGCCACCGCTTGCGGATTCCTCCTGCTGATCAGGTAACGGCAACGTGGGGGAAAACTTTCTGTCGAGGTGCTCCGTTCGAACCATTGGCCCTTTCGGACACTGCCCTCGTAGGCAGCCAGGGCGGGCACTCGAACTTGTGGAAGAAGCGCTCTATATAGGCTTGTTCATGTGATGGCAATATGGTGAGGCCGAACGAATGAGGCAAGGCAAAGTTACTTCTTGCAAGGCGTGAGCGATGACAAGCATGACTCTAGCTTGCGAGGGCAGGCTGAGGGGTCCATCTGCACCGAATATGTTGTCTCGCCTCCTTGGCCTCTGACCCGAGCGACTCGATCCGGATGCTTCCTCAAGCCCTCGCGCAGAGACTGTGCACTGCTCCCTATTGCGTGCTTGATACTGTACGCTCCAGAGGATCAGGAGAGCATTCTCGCCCCGATTGCACACTCGCCGTGACTACACACTACTTTGGCCAGCCAGACACTCGCCGTGAATTTGACATCAGCAGAGCGCTGTCTGGCTGGCGTAGTCTGTCAGACAGCCCTAGTCTCCTGCAAGATTGGAACGGCATACCTCTCTGCGGAGGTACGGTTGCAACTGTTCACTCTTCCTAGAGCGTAGTCTGCATATCGCACTCCGGACCTCCCCTCAGATTCTCAGACCTCCCACTTAGATTCCCAGACCTCCCCAGACCTCCCCAGACCTCCCCAGACCTCCCCTTAGAGTGGAAGTGCGTGCATGGAGTTATCTTTGTGCAGCTCAAGATCTCTTGATGCGCGGAGCCGGGTGTGAAAGTGGCCGGTAGCAAACGGTGACCTTCCCGAATTCTCCCTCAGCCCCGATGTGTTGACCGCAAGTGGCGGTGAGAGTGCGCCCTCCTCACCCCCAGATCTAAGAAGCCAGAAGGTGTCGGAGGCCGATATTAGACGCGGGCTCTGCTGCTGGCTGCACCTGCTCGAGATCCGCTCAGACGTGCGTGGCGCTTTGGACAGTGCTCCACTGCCTTGGCACTCCTCGCTGTCGGCCGACAGCACCCCCCTTCCGAAGCTTATGTGGCCCGTCCCAGGCCAAAAAAGCCCGAAGACCTCCTCCCACCCTGCTAGCGAAATGCCTACCTTTCTTGATCTCACCTTCCTCACCTCCCCGACACCCTACTCTCGTTTCGCCCTTTCTTCTTGCAAACGCCGATCAGGCCGTTGTTCTGTGAATAAGAGCCGGAGGAGTAGCCTGCATGCTCGTAGTGCTCGCGGCTGTTCTGTATCTCGAGCAAGAGACAGCAGTGGCGCTGACAAGGCAATGACATGACCTTCGCTTCGAGCATACCCCTCTGCTTTGCTGAACAGAACGGGAAGTAGGTCAGGAGAGGGACCTTATCTCCCGAGTGTCCTTCTTTGGAGGGTGTCTGATCTGCTGATTGCCTTTGCCCTCCCCGCCAGTGGCTGGCTTAGGGTCTTGGCAACCAGTCATGTAGACCGCTACAATTACCAGACTTGCTCCCACTTCTTCGGACTCTGCCTCCAACACTTCAAGCACTCTTGAATTGCCCCTCACTCATATTTGACACCTAGTCCCTCGCACAGAAGTAGCTTCCGACTTTGACCACCGTTGGTGCCTTCTCTTTGGACCATCACCGTCACCGTCATCACCATCACCACACTACCTTCCTAGCCCACGACTCCCCGCCACGGAGGCGCCATCAACTGCTTCATTGCCTTTCCACACAAGATGCCGGCAATGAGATCATTCATTGACAGCTTCAGGGCCGAGGAACAGGGTCAGGGCTGGGAGGGTGCGCAGTACCAAGAGCGCAAAGCGGCAGTCCACTCCGAAGGCAGCTCTCCGGGTGCGGACGTTGAGAAGGCCTCTGTTGACATCGTCAGAGACCTTGGAAACGAGCAATATGCCAATGCTCAGAAGTTCGTCGTCGATGAGCATGGTCGACGCCTCACCACCGCTGAGAGTGGTCTGAAAAGGAACCTCACCGGCAGACATATGCAAATGATTGCCTTTGGAGGCGCCATTGGAACCGGTCTCTTCATTGGCTCTGGAGGCGCCCTCTCCACCGGTGGTCCTGCTTCCCTGCTCCTGGACTTCATCATCATGGGGGTTCTTCTCGCTTGTACGGTCCTTGCCCTTGGAGAGATGGCCACTACCCTTCCTGTGGCAGGTTCCTTCGCCGCCTATTGCTCTCGCTTCATGGATCCAGCGTGGGGATTTGCCATGGGATGGAACTATTGGTTCGGCTGGTTTGTCACGCTGCCTCTGGAGCTCGTCGCCGCCTCCATAGTCATCGAGTACTGGGACCCAAACGCCGTTGTACCCCGTGGCATCTGGATCTTCGTCTTCATCCTTGCCATTTCGGTCATCAACGTTGCGAGGGTTAGGAACGGCAGAGTAGTGTCTTTGCGAGGGTCTGGTATCCATCTATAGT